ACAAATTTACTGTACATTGTTTCATCTTCAGGCTTATGGAATGAAGCTTCTTCGCACACGTGACAACCCGGAGTACAAGGTAATATGTGAACTTTTTTTTTGAAAAACAGTCGACATATCTAATGAAATCATTTCAACTGTAGGAAGCCAAAATACTTATTGCTAAGTCATTGGGATGCATGCGTAACTTAATTGTTTGTTATTTAAGTGCTAGCATGACGGAGATAGGTTGACTATCTTATCCCAAAGAAGAAAAATAGTGGAGATAGGTTAACTTTCTGATGCAATTCTATATGTTTTGGTGTTTGGTTTATGAAATGGCAGTAATAGATGTGGCTGGATGGAATGAAATTTACTTGCATCACACCTGCCTCCCAATAGAAAATCGGATTTTGAGATTTACTCGTAGCATTGCTAAAATATGACTCCCTATTAGACCAAATTTTTGTGCAAACATGCTATTTTGCCCTATTGAACGTGCATTATCCAAAGTTCTTTTGCAGTAGTACTTCAATTTGACTTACTTGTACATGATCTAATACTTTCCCCTATTGAACTAACTCTCTATTCTGATTAGTTTGTTATTCTCGTTCATGGTGGTGGAAACTTTTAACGTTATAGATGTTGTCACTTTGAGACTAGTACTTGCAGATACACTGAGAATGTCAAGTGTTGCTTAAGTAAATCGTTGAGGAAATGTTTTCTGGCAATTGTAGAAATATATACGTCTAGGTGATTGCGTTTATTTGGTTATACTTGCATCTCAATAAATTTAAGAAATCAAGAAGTTGACTTATTTACTATTGGAAGAGTCAATAATTTTTACTTGACTGTGATTTATTCCAACAAAGGTTTAGTATTTGTTAAATCTGAAATTTATAGGTACTGTGCTTCAATTTATGGATCATTTTGAGACATTAAGAAAAGTTTGATTTGTGGCTTGATTCGAAGTGACTTCCGTCAAACTAAATATGCATGAATGTAGGAGACATTCGATGGAAATCACATTGTGTATTATTATACAGAATAAGTCTTACCAAGCTATTACGTATTTGCAGTATACAATAGCAATGCTAGGATATGGTCCTGAAGACACGAGCGCTGTGATGGAGTTAACATATAATTATGGTGTCACTGAATATGACAAGGGAAACGCATACGCACAGGTAGCACTTCATAGATCGGTAGTAGTGTGTGTTACATGTTATGTTGGTTGCATACCATCTCCGTATACTCCTTGCGTCTTAGTTCACTAACTTATACATATCCCAACAGATAGCTATAGGCACCGATGACGTGTACAAGACAGCAGAAGCAATAAGACTTTGTGGTGGAAAAATTACCAGGGAACCAGGACCTCTACCCGGTATCAGCACCAAGATTACTGCGTGCCTCGACCCTGATGGTTGGAAGACGGTAATTCTATTTAGATTACAACTTCCCCCTAGTGCCCTCATCGTAGGTTTCAAATTCGCAAGTTTATAACATTTCCAGAAAACATGCAGGTTTTCGTTGACAATATAGATTTTCTCAAGGAATTGGAGTAAACTATCACTCAAAATACTAGGCATACTCAGAACATCTCAAGGACATTGATGCTTCAACAAATTACATCCTCGCCAAAACGATACAAGGAGACTACCACGGGAGATAGCGTTACATTGTGCATTTGTGGATTGTATTACAGAAATCGTCGCTTCACCAGAGCATTAGAAGAATAGAAGCACGAAAATCGTACATCTTCGTGCTTTTTGTAATAAGTTTGTTGATCTTATTTATGCTGCCCTTTCTTACAGGGAAAACTCAGCAAAGTAAAGAAGCAAATAAACCAGTAGTTCAGAAAAAATTAGAATAGTTGGGACTGAGTTCTGTGTTTCCATTATATCTAATTTGATTTTGTTCATTAGAACTCTTTTCTGAGGATCAGTCAGTTGACAATTGCATATTCCATTGTTGTAAACATTGTCCAATTAAATAGTTCTTTATGTCGAAAGTCTATCGAAAACAATATTTACTTTCCTACACCCCATACTCTCTAGATCCGACTTACTCTCTAGATCCGACTTAAAATATTATATTCAGTATGTTATTGTTGTTAAACATCCGGTTTCTTGAGCCGAGAGTTTGTCGCAGACGAGCCTATCTACCTTCGTTAAGGGTGCGTATATGTCACTCTTCTCAAATCTTACTCATGAAATTACGTTAGATATATTATCGAAACAAAACACCCAAACAGTACACAATCTACAGTAGTACTCGACCCCCATACTCCCTAGACCCGGCTTGTGATATTAGATTCAGTATGTTATCATTGTAAAACATTCAAATTGTTTCTTGAGTCGAGAGTCTGTCGGAGACGGGCAGAATAAGGCTGCATACATGCCATCCTCCTCAAATCTTACTCATAAGATTACGTTAGATATGTTATTATCAAACACAACCTATGATATTAGTCTAAACTTACATACATACGTACATGTCACCTCAGTTATGAGATTACATTGGATATATCGTCATTATCGAAACAAAAACATTCAAACAGTAACATAATCTTGATGTAAAATATAAAACTAACAACTTCCATAAACACTAAAATTGGTATTTTTTTTCATATATATATATATATGGGGAAAATTCATCTTAGCAAGCTAATAATTAACTAATTAAAAAACTAAACAACTCTAATCAATCACTAATCACTAATGATTAATCTATTTACCATTAAACCTTGTTCATCGTCTTCGTTTTCACCATGTTAGAGCAAAACAGAGCTCACCAGTTCGATTATGGCGGAACATCCAACCAGTAACACAATCACTTACCTTCAATCCATGTTCTTGAACAAACTGTTTCCAGCTTCCTAAAAGCAGATAAGTTTTGTGATTTCCCCAAGTTTTGAATTTCATGTTGCAATATTTACCCATTGGATCAAAAGTTTTAACACTGATACCAGTAGTAAGATCTTCAGATTTTTCATTCAATAATGGGAGAAGTTGATTCCTTACATATTCATTGCTGAGTAAGAACCTACCTTGATGTCCATTCACATCGGAATTCGTCAATTGCTTCACAAATGGGTTACTGCATTGCCCAATTAGGGTTGTTAAATTCTCAATTGGGGGAAATTTCGGTAAAGACCCAGGTAAATTTGAAGGCGAAACACGACCCCTTTTTGGTACTGGATTGGAATTTCTAGAACTCGAAGCAGCTTGACCGCCATTAGAATTGCTCGAGAGTCGAACCCTTTTTGGATTTCCAGCACCATAGACTTCAAACCCAGAAGCAGAAGGTGAATTTTTCACCCTTTTCGGAATTTGAATTTCTGGGGTTTCATTTTTGATGAATCTTCGATGCTTTCGCTTCGATTTCTCCTCTTTCTTTGGAAAAACAGGGACGTACTTCAACCAAGAAAGAAGCAATGCGGCTTCAATATCTTCCTTTTCAAGTTTCACCATGATTTGAATGGTTGAAACCCTAGGAAAAATTCATTTTTAGAGGAAGAAGAAGAAGATTACTTGTAGAACAAGTTTCTGCTCAATTTTAGTCGTATTATAACTCTACTATTTTTGGATTTTTTTTTTTTTTAGAGAGTTTCACCATCATTTGAATGTATTAGTTGAGTAAGAGTCATGGGCCCATATGGACCAATAAATCAAATTTTTTACAATCATCCAAAAATAATTTTATTTTATTTTTAATTTACGCAAAAAAGCAAACATATACTATTTAATTACTCATCATAGCTATAATTTTGGTAATAATTTACAACTCTCGACTAACATTATACTACATTGATTGCGTGGGTTGATTTCGAGTTTGTATAATTAGTCACGTTTGTGTATGTATAATTCGTAAGAAGATACAAATACATCTGTATAATATACGATTATTTAACGTATATACATATACAATTCACCTCTCTAGCTCGCCTCTCTCCTCCCTCTCGCTTCTCTCCTCCTTCTCCTATTCTCGCTTGACCTATATACAAAAAATGTATGTGTATAATATATAATTATATACATATAGAATTTACCTCTCTCCCGCTCTCGCTCGCCTCTACAAATACATATGTATAATATATAATTATCTAACCGATATACATACACAATTCACCTTTCTCTCACTCTTTCTCCCCCCTCTCTCTCGCCTCTCTCCTCTCTCTCCCAGTCTCGCTCGCCTCTCTCTTCCATATAACATGTAGTTACGAATTGTGATTATCAAACTACAGCTATGGAGGGTAATTAGGCTATTTTTAAGTGGCTACATGTGAAAGTTTTCAAAATTTTAATGAAAAAGGGTCAAAAATATTCTCAATTTATAGTTTGGCTCAAAAATGCATTTTTTGATTCAAACATGTCCTTAAACTACGCGAAAGGAACACAAATGTCCTCCATTTATAGTTTGATTAAAAAAAAGATACACTTCGCTTGTCAAATTTGCAAGTTATAGCTCTTACAAATTATATTTTGTAACAACTTAAACACCAAATTTTACAATAGAAATACAAATGGTCAAATTTGTAAAATCACATAAAATTGTGGGAAATTCTGAATTTCTCAATAACTTTCATTGCAATCAAACATCAACTGGTTACAAGAAAAGTACACATAATAAAAAAACAATTGAAACTTTTACTACACTAGACATTAACAAGACTAAATATTCCTCAAGATTAACACTAATGAAAGTACTTAACAACTAATCAAAAGAAATCTACACTCTCAAATAACAACATCTTCTCTTCACGTATCTGAACCAAGTATGCATCAATTAAAGAAACGGAGAGGATAAAGTTTCGACATAGTTTACAACCTCAAGTAAGTGATTCCAGCCAAGAAGCAGTATTTGAGGAATTCAAGGAATATCGCATTTACAAAGAGATCATACCATCAAATATTGTGTTTCATTACCATCAAACATCAACCTTGTTACAAGAAAAGTTGAATATTACATTCATAAAAAAGAAGTAAACTTTTACTGAAATAGACATTAACAAGACTCTAATCTGTAAAGATTAACACCAATGGAAGTGATTATTAACAACTCATCATAAGTCTTCTTCATCTGTTACTGTTCCTTCTTCGTCTTCGTCATCATAATCTTCTTCTTCATCGTCATCATATTCTTCTTCTTCCTCCTCTTCTTCATCGTCGTCATCATCATCATCATATTCTTCGTCATTGTCATTGTCATCAAGAATGGTGTTATTTTCCAATGAAGCACTCAGATTTATTCCATCCTTGAATCGTGCTTTTGCCAATTCAGAAGTTTCTGGGAAAATGATTCGACGAAATTCATTTGTTTGTGAAATTTCTGATTTCATTTTCTTCTCCTCTTCTTCTTCGTCATCAGAACTTTCTGATTTCATTTTCTTGTCCTCCTCTTCTTCGTCATCATCAGAACTTTCTGGGAAATCGATTCGTGGGGTTCTTAGTTTCCCCTGAAATTCACCAAAAAAAGTTCTTTTTGAATTTTCGGAGTTCATTTTCTTTTCCTCTTCTCCTTCTTCGTCATCATCAGAACTTTTTGTGAAATCGATTCGTGGGGTTCTGAATTTCCCCTGAAATTCACCAAGAAATGTTCCTCTTGAATTTTCTGATTTCATTTTCTTATCCTCTTCTTCTTCTGTTTCCTCTTCGTCATCGTCTTCTTCCTCTTCTTGTTCTTCTGTTTCCTCTTCGTCATCGTCTTCTTCCTCTTCTTCTGCTTCTGTTTCCTCTTCGTCATCGTCTTCTTCCTCTTCTTCTGCTTCTTCTTTGTCGTCAGAACTTTCTGAGAATTCGATTGGCGGGGTTGTTAATTTTCCATCGAGATCTCTATCTAATTTCAGTCTCTTAGGCTCTGTTTCTGATGGGACATTGTGATGTTTCCTTTTAGCATTTTCCTTTCTTTCCTCATCCCTCTCTGGTGTTTTCACCCTCATATTCGTCTGACTCCAAACGAAGAAAAACTCGTTGGGTTTTTAAAAAGATGTGAATGGAAAATGAAAAGTTGCGACTTTTTATGAAAAGTTACAACTTTTACAAAAGAGTTATGACTTTTACGAATAGTTATAACTTTTACGAAGAGTTGCGACTTTTAACTCAAGATTAACACCAACAAAAGTGATTAAAAACTAATCCAAAGAAATCTACAGACACACTCTGAAAGAAGTGCAGAAACACTAATGAAATTCATAGTCACAACAAAACTTATGTATGGTCTTCTTCTTCTTCGTCGTCATCGTCATCATCACTCTGATTTTTAAAATTAAAGCTACTTTTCCAGAGTGATGCAATTTTCTTATCAATTTGGATCTTCAACTCTTTCTTCTTCTTCTTCGTCGTCATCACTCTGTTTTTTATAAGCTGCTTTTCAACAGTGATGGATCATATTTTTTATCAATTTAGTAGAAATTCCTGCTCTTTTGATTCGCGGGGTTCTTGATTTCTTCGGAATGTAAGGAAAAAAGCTATTTTCTGAAATTTCTGATTCTATTTTGTTTGCCTTCTGTTTCTTCTTCAAGAACAGGGAGGTTCATCAATGGAGAATTTCGCTTTTTTTCCTCCTCCTCCTCTGGTGTTTTCGACATGATTCGATTTTTTCTTGAAGCTCTGAAAAATCTCAGAAAGTTTTGTTTTGATGACTGTGAAGAAGAAGAAAAACTATATGGTAATTTGAATTATAAGGAAATGTGAAGTTTCTTGGAGATCTAACATAACTAACTACCTATTGGCGCCATTTTTTTAAAAAATTATAAAAATTACAATAATTCACCTTTTTTTTATATAAGTTACTTATATTTTCTCGTTGAGTTTAAATTATATTTTACGTTGACTATTTTAAATTATATTTTACGTTATCAAGTCAATGAATTCAAAGTAGGTGGAGACGGTTAACCATCCAAGCAATTCCTTTTGTGTACTAGCTACGATTTATGGGTAGTCTCATATCACTTAAACGAGTGATATAACACCTATCTTTAATGAAATTGTCTAAAAAGGAATTTTTCCTTTTCTTTTGAATTTTATTTTTCATTTTCCCATTTAACTTGTTTTCAAATATTCGAAACCTCTAAATATAATTTATCAAATTTCTCTATTGAATAATTGCTCGTTATATACTTCAACATTTCTATTCAGATATATGCTCTATTTTTTATTTATTTTTTACTTCTTTCATTTCCTTATAATAGGTTTATAGATTAAATTTTAGTGTATTTATTTATCCCTTTAAATCTAGACAAGTAACACATTTTAAAAAAGGAAAAGGGTGAATTTATAGACGATTTACTAACATCAATTAAAAGAAAAACTAACGTAATAATATGAAATATATACTGAAATACGTCGCTTTTATCAAGTGATAAAATTATTTTTGCCCCTAATGACATCCGATAATAGAAATATTAAATGTGTAACCAAGTATTCTTTGGTTATGCAAATAATGAGAGGAATATTTCAATGCTAAACGGACACTTACTGATTATTTATATAACCTGTGACTCAAATATGTAACCAAATATTCTTCCAGCACCATGATGGGTGCACCATAAGCCTTGCTGAAAACGAAATCAGCACGAACTTTGGGTGTCGAAACTCCCAGCCTCAAGTCCTGAACAAGTCCAATACGACTAGATATTCAGTTCATACTTCATTCAGAAGCTTCATTACTCGATGATATGAAGTTTTCCAGCATGATTTCATCACGAACGAACCTAGCAAGTCTAGAAGCAGAGACACTTGGGAGCAGGAATATAAGCTCAGGCAGAAGAATGGTACCAAGGAACCAGTGAATACTTGATCCCTCGCACAATCAACAAACCAAACAATGCAATCACTAGTTAATCTTCTTCTGGAGTTGATTGAATTCAAGGGGAATCATTACACCGACAGAAACAACATCTCACGGGCATATCATCAAATGGAATGATTCCTGCAAATAGCAAAAGGATGACAATAATTGAGAAGCTGATTGCAAATTACGGACAGTATGTTAACAGAGTCTTTTTGTTTTAAAAGAAACTGTGAAGGCTAGTCACAGTACATATGCCAGCCTAAGCACATTTAAGGGAGGTCAAAACTGCTTACTGTTAAAAAGGAAATCATCTCGAGCAAATCAGACCATCAACTCACATGAAATTACCAAATCAAAACTAACAACAAAACATTACCTGGTGGCAAGCTCACCTACTGGGCCAGATGGAAACAGGATTCAAAAGAGCGATAAGACTTTAATGTAAGTGGGATGAGTGGTGGAGAAAGAAAAGTCTATATATGAATCTGTACATCAAAACTTCACAATCCTCCTGATGAGAACAGAGAGTGTTTTCGTTTGTATATCACATTTCCGAACTAAATTTCATAGCTATACTAGATCCAATTCCGTTATCAACATGTTTGCAACAAACCATTGGCTCACCACATAATTAAGCAATAAAGATTACAACACATGCAACTTTGCAAGTAAAGAAGCAAGTGAAGAAAATAACCACTACTGTATGCACAAAAGGAACTGCACAATTTTTGACAATCGCATATGATATATTTTTTACATTAGGAGACAAAGATGTCTCTAGTGCTTCATTTTTTCAGCGGACAGGAACCATCCTGATCTTAATGCAAGGATGGACCAATTTGTTTATAGTCATCTTAGGAAAAATATCTAACCCGAGCTCCCATAGAAAGACAAACAGCTGCCATCTGCTTTCATGTCCTGCTCAATTCACACCACCCTCTTGAACTCATAAAATTGCAGCGGGCCATGATCAGCCACCATAGTCATCCGAACCAGCTTGTAATCATAAAGTAAGTATCAGCTGCCCAATTTGAAGGCTCACTAGCCCCAACTTCAACTTCATCTTCATCTTATCCTGAAAAGGGAAGAAAGGATCTTTGTCATCATGAATAGAAATGCTTTTAATTCACAATCATAATTGTGATGTCTAATAGTGTGCCACCTGACCCCAAAGCAATGCCATAGAAAACATTTAGTAGAGAAAGAAGAGAACCTTTTTATCACTTTGCAGAAGAAATACGTCGCAAGGAGGACATCCAGCTGCTGCCTCCGTTATCACCATCATGTGTTGTTTCAGTGGGTAAAACAGGTTTTGTAGCATTTGCTCTTGGTAAAACAGGAGCCAATGAAGAAGATGGCATATGAGCACTACTTAATACCTACATTATGAAAGGGAAATTATTGAGAAGCCTACTTGGGATGAGATAATAGGAAGAAAACTAATCATGAGACATAGCAAATAGCCAATGCTTAATGCGAAAAATGCTTTATCTCGAAACAAGACTATCAAAAGATTGGCAGAAGTATCACTCACATTTCTCTCAAGATTGGCAGAAGTTAAATTCCTGTTTGTTGGTGACTTAAATTGCATACGAATTCCAGGACTGGAAGGGTTATTCGGCCTTAGACGATCAGTCACCTCAGCAACATAAGGTCCATTGTTGCCTGTAGAAACTGTAGAAGGAACAGTTCAGCTGATTTAACCTAATTACATCAACAGAAATTAACATGACATCCAAAACAAAATTGAAGTATGTTTTCTACTAGCATACTTCTAACTCAAGTCTTCTTTCTCTTAATTTATCTGTGCAAGTCTGCATAAACTTTTTGACAAAGCAAGTCTGCACACACTTTACTGCTGGATTATAACCACTCAACCCAGAATAAAGGAAACCATTTTGTGCAGATAGAATGGATGTAAACCATATTCACAACTCACAAAACATAACATCTTTCACTTTTTATACTACTACATAGTTCTCCTCATTTGTAGAAATAGAAATTTCCAATTTTAGTTATCAACCTTGACGCTTTTCAACATCCATTGGAATTGCTCGGCTACTTTCACCACCAACTTGCTGCAAAATCACAGAACAGTCAAAATTTTGAATAAAAACAACTCATCAAGCAAGCCTTGACTAAAAAGATGCACTATTCAGCTTGTTTATTTAAGGAACAAGAAGAAAAGTACAAGCTCAAATTATAGCATGTCATCAAGTGAGAAGTGATTAATCATAGTTAAAATGAATTCAGGAAACAGGACAAGCTAAAAAAGATACCCGATGCTGTGGTTTACTTGTTTGTGCCTGTTGGTACTTTAGGATGGTCCAATCAAATATGTAATCAAACTCATATCCTGCGTGACACATAGATGTACATCAGTTGAACTTCTGCAGATAGATTTCAATGTACCCAGGAGGGTATTTATTAAAGAACCCTGGTGTTGTCCAAGGAGTTGATGAAGCTTAACTTTAGGCATACCTTGACGAGTAAAAAGTTCACGAAAGAGGCGCTTTAAGAATCCATAATCAGGTCGCTGATCAAATGTCAACGAATGACAGTAGTGGAAGTACGAAGCAAACTCAACAGGATGAGACTTGCATAAAACCTTCACCAGGAAATAGTACAAAGAGTCAGAATAAGAACCTTTTGTTTTAAAAAATAAGAGACATAAGGAGCAGTGGCAAGGGAAGCTATTCAGGTACACATGCCTCAATAGGAGTTGATAACTTCTTTTGACATATTTTGTCATACTTTTGCTTCTTTGTGGCAGCTTTTAGACCCTGCCATGGGAGGCTATTGAAGAACCAATATGTTGGTCAAAATAATATTTGATACACCAAGGAATAGAAAGGTTTAATCTAATTGAAAAACCACACACCTGCCTCTCAAGAAATAAAGGAGAACATATCCAAGAGATTCTAAATCATCCCGCCGGCTTTGCTCTGTATAACATAAAGAGGACATTCAAATGTGAAGATAGATTTTATTTTAATAACCCTCTTCTTCACAGGCAGGAATAAAGGTTAATTATTTTCCTTGCCAAATACTTTACAGGTTTTACGATGGGGAGACAAAAACAATCAAGGAAAATAGTATCTTCTCTCACCAATTCCGAGATGAGTATTACAACTGGCATAGCGTGCTGTTCCAGTTAAATTTTTGTTCTCTCTGTACAGAAGAAAAGATATTAAAATTAGATCCATAACGCTGCATCTAAGAAGTGATCAATGTTCTCTCTTCTATGTTTTAACCAAACTAAAACTAGAATCACACATTACACTTATGAGTACACACTTGGAAGCTTAAAGATAAATGATAAATGATGAAAAAAGTTCAGATTAGCATATTCAAAAACTTATACCTGTAAGGAATATGGCGATTTGTAGTCGCATCACGGTATCTTTTAGCAAGACCAAAATCAATAATATAAACCTGAAAATTACATAATGACAATAGGATTCATTCAGAAGAAAAGAACAAAGCAAACTAACTGATAAACCAATAAAAACTAAAAAGAGAACGAAAGAAAGTCACTTGATTTGCTTTCCGACCAAGACCCATCAGAAAGTTGTCAGGCTTAATATCCCTGTGTAGAAAGCCCTTAGAATGTACATATTCGATTCTGGTGATCTGAGAAAAGGAGAGGCAGAAGAATCTGATCAGCCAAGCGGCTAATAAGGAAAACAGCAAGTAAATTTTTTAAAAAGATTGACCATGTTGGTAAAAACACTCTCGCAATGCATTCCAAAGGTCCTACATATTTACCAATAAGTATATATTAAAATGTAATAGTTCTCCAATATCTATGGGACATGACAAATCAGAGAGCACAAAACAAAACTTTGGTGCAGCTCTATTAGTCTTAATCCTGAAAATATTTAAGTCAACATAATTGCTGAGAGCCACAATGGATAAGAATGTCAAAGGGAGAGAAAAGCCCAATATGTAGAAAAAGCAACTAATTAGCTGACGGTCATGTTCCTACACAAATGCCCTTGTTCCTAACCAAAGGCTCATTTCACCTGATCAAATTCTGGAACAAGCTTCCACCTATCATGGAACATGGGCCAAAGTCAAAATGGTATACTTTAGCTACGCCTTTGACATGAAGTAAAGCTCTTATCAAACAGAAACATAGTAGCATGAACATTATAATGTGTTGAAGGGAAACTGCTGTTACCATCTGGTCCGCCAACATTAAAACAGTCTTCAATGAAAGCTTCCGGTCACAATAGACAAAGAGATCTTCCAAGCTAGGACCCAATAAATCCATGACCAGAACGTTGTCATCACCATCCACACCAGACCATTTTATATGTGGTACACCACCTAGAAAGGAGCAAACTATAAATTACACCATAATCTGTACATCTATCCATAAAGTGCACAATATCCAAAACATACTTCCTCCCTGGAGAATATTGTATAACTTGGCCTCGTAGAGAAGTTGAGGATGTTTGGTCTTATTGTTCTCCTACAAAAAGTTTTAATATAGAAAGGAACCTATAGTGTTAGATCCTAACAAGATGTGAACACCACGTAATATTAAAATTAATTAAAAAGATACTAAGAATGCAAATATACAGCCAAAGGCGAAAAAGAAGAAACGGTAAATGAAGTGCAAAAATAATTCAACATGGTCACAATATAATTGCAATTAATGAAATTCGAGTGCCTGACTGAGAAATCAAATGACTTAGACTAGGAAGAATGCATAATTCAATATGGTCACAATATAATTGCAATCAATGAAATTCGAGTGCCCGACTGAGAAACTAAATGACTTAGACTAGGAAGAATCCATACTTATATCCAATTTTATTTTATTTTTGAAATTGAAACATGTTGTAATATAAGAAATTTAGCGATTTGTTCGAGGCCGTAACCAAAACGAGAAGTATTTGAAAGGTGCAGAGAATCGCTTATTGATATCACCAACCTTTAATGTTATATGGTAAACACACTCTTTAATAACTCCCTCCCTTTCCATTTGTTTGTTTGGTATTAGCTAGATATTAAGCTAATAAAGAAGAATTTTGAATTTGTGGTTTTAAATTAAAGATATGTAGAATGTTCCAAGATATCCTTTAATCTAGTGCAGAGGAGGATCTATGTAGAAGGGTTGGGGGTGCCACAACACACGGATGTCTCGCTTGAAACTTTATATATATATATATATATATATAAGGAATTGTAAAAGCATTAAGTGTGGCACCCAGAGAAACAATGGAGCTCAAGGCGCGTGGGCATAAAGCTAAGTTTTTACTCCTCACAATGCAAGTTCGAATCCTATTGGGTTCATTTTCTAAAACTAGTTTAACCTCTTGTGTTCATTGTTAAAAAGGCTCTGGTTACACAGAATAGGACCCTAGACCTCTTCTAATTAACAAATTATCTTTACCAAGTAGACAAGGCTTTAACTAGTGCTAAGAATTGTTGATCAATACTATTTCAAGGTTTCCTCCTGACACCACTTTACATTCCATCCGTTACCTTTCAAAGCAACGTGGCCACATGGAACACTGAAATTAAAAAGTTGCATCTACTTGATGCCTGCAATAGAACTAATTACTTCTTAAAAAAAAAGTTGCCAAAAGAATGCAAGACTAACTACTTAACGGATGTAAGACTAACAAACTAAAATGGAGGCAATATCAGTTATCACATGCAGCCAAAAGACTCCAACCATTGCTATCTTCTATCTCAGAGGCATATTAACCTAGTGTTTTTGGCTCATTATCTGCTGGAACTAAGCTTCACACACTACAAGCACCAACTACAAAGTTCACTGCATGATCCAATAATAATAAACTTCACGAGTTATTTCTGGTGCACAAACCACTTACAACATGAAAAGCAATCACTCATAAAAAAATCAACAAAATTCATAGCTCAAGCTAATAAGAACTCACAATTTTGACAGCGACGATCTCAAATGAATCAATATGCGTAGCTGCAAAATTACAAAATACACAAATGATCATCATAAAACTCACCGCAAACTGTCTGTAAAACAAAACAAAAAAAAATACAAGCTCAAAACATATACACTTTGCTACCTTCATAAATAACACTCACCGAGAAAAATTTCACCAAACGATCCACTACCGATTTTTCGGCCGAGCTTGAATTTACCTCCGACGATCCTATCCATATCTCAGATCGACGGCTTAGATCAGATCAGACTCTTCACAGATCATGAAAAAAAAAACGAAAAAACTCTTTTGAAGATTCGGCGACGGCGCAAACAGCAATCACACACAGATTTGATTGAAGAAGAAGAAAACGGAGTTGTAATCGAAGCAAATAACACCGGCGTAGAACTCGAAGATTTTCCGGTGAAGAAAAAAAAAGTCGGCGGCGAGGGGGCGGGGGGTAGGGATAACAGAGAGTGTATTATTTTGTGTGTATATATTTTACGTTACGGTTTCACGAGAGCAAATGAGAAAAGAAGATAAAGGTTCCACGTGGATGACTAAATTGTGGATGATTTTCTTTGCAATTTGACTTTGTGGCCCATTTGAAGAACGGGTTGGGCCCGGGCCTAGATTGATCGACAATAATATATTCAATATAATTTCGTAAAATAGAATATGAAAATGATAGAGTATAATATGTATGCAGATAATAGTTTCATAAAGTATGATATGAAAATGATAGAATGTATGTAAATTTTAATTCGGTAAAGTATAATATAAAAATGATAGTGTATGCAAACTTGTATACATTAATTCTTATTTTTTGTAATTAATTTATACTTGATTTGGTGGTGATAGATAAAAGAACTTGTGTTTAGAGGGGATAATATTAGCTCGTGTGATAATATAAATGGAAGAAATATATGGTATGGCGGTCGATGATTTAAATGATTTCATTTTGATCAGTAGCAGGATGCTACTTACGAGCTGCTCAGAATATACAGAGTATATTTTTCAAGGGGAGTTTGGACAAATACCGTTGTCCCCTCCTAAATCCGCCCTTGTGATGGCGACCTCTTCATCAAAGCCACCTTGGTCCATTCTAAAATCGTCATCAGTTACCTGTGACGCCATTTCTGTCTTTTTTACAACCTTGATATACCATTACGAGCGATAATTTATTCTTATTTCTCCACTACATAATAGCAAATCAATTTTAGATTTCTTATCAGCCATTTTGAGGGATTCAATTTTTGGAAAAATCGAGGTAGAGTAGTGGAGTAAATTTAGAATTTTCGCTACTTATCCCTTTTTAAAATAGTTATTTAGCAATTAGTCCCCTTTTTTTTTTTAATATTTCTTACCATTGATGGACATTTTTATTATACAGTCTAACAATTTGTAAGTAACTTTAGATGATAATCTAAAATTATCTCATCCTAATTTATGCAAGTATTTAAAGCCATATTCACCTGACTTCTAAAAATAGAGACAAAATCTAAATGAAAAATCTAAAAGAAATTTTTGCATAAATCAGTGTAGAAGTATACTAAATTTTGCATTATCATCAATACTTCCTTTAATTATTTATCTTAGGTCAAATGGTATACATGATAAACTTTCCAATGAACAAATATTACAATTAAAACAACATTTTATCAAAAGAATGGGGTATTATATCTTGACAAAACAAAGAAAAGAAAAAAGAACAAAATAAATTACAACAAAAAATCAAGAAAAAAAACAAGAATATATGTATCAATAATACATCTCATTTTTTTTGTAAGTGTGTATATATATATATATATTGGACTCAATTTTATTTGTTAAAATTGAGGTTTAAAACACTCTCCAGGAAATTGTCCGTTAAATCGCTTCGTATCTTTACAATAATCATAAATCATGTAATTGCTCCTAACCCATTCCATTTGACCTTGTTTCGCGTAACTCAATTGATTATACTCAGGAGCAGTATACCAGTTACTTGGAGTTTGAGTTGCACATTGACTAATGCTAATAGGTCCGTTCCAGGCACAGGCCCGTGGGGCGAAATTTCGATACTTGGCTATAAATGGTGCATTGGTCCAGTCACATTTGACAAGACCACCTCTAGTTGCCCAACTATCAGCATTCCAAAGGCTAGAGTAAACCCCCATTGCTTGCGCGTTCGGATAGGGAATATCTTGACTCTGATAGTTTTTATAGACTCTAATTGGTATATCGTCAACGTACCATCTACAACATGAATAAATAAACATTAGTCAAGAATTGACTCGATCAACGCTCCATTAAAATATACATATAATATGTATATATAATTTTTTGATAAAGAGCGTTTAACTTACACGACTGCATTAGGGTTCCAATGAATGGTATAATTATGATAATCAGCAGTTGGATCAAACCATGGATAAAATTGTTGTTCCCTGCCTCCAGCACCTTGAGTAAATATATTTGTGTGTATAATATATGGTTGTCCTGATACATTTCCTAGAAACTCAAAGTCAATTTCATCATGCTTGTCACCAGTTGAGGATAACTGTGAAATTAAAAACCAAAAAATTAGATACTCCCTTTGAAATAATAATTATAATACATCTATTTACAATATGAATTACATTTATTATATGTTCGATATAAACGAAAATATTTTTCATCAAATATATATATGTTTGTAAAAAAAAAAGTAATTTTCTTACTTATCTTTTTATTTAATCAGTACACAAAAAATAACGTCCCACAAATATTTTTTATATCTAATACCATGTTAAAGAAATAGACGTCAAGCTTATAACTCAATCACATAAGTTAATTCATAAGGAGAGAACTGTCCAAGATTATATAAGAAGACCAAACACAGAATCAATAATCTACACAAACTCATGGTCGGGTTCGAGTCCCTTTGGGTATGGAGTTGCTGTTCGGAAGCATTTTTAACACTTTTCAGCGCGAATTTAGATATATTAGACTTCAAAATGTGGGTACCAAACGCCATATGGAAAAAAAAAATCTTGAACCATTCAAGTTTTATTGATTATGTTATATATTTTGAATGCATATTAATAATCATATAAATAAAGGGTTATTAATGGCCACAACTTATAAATATAATTAAGAAAAATTCGGTCGATTGAAACTATTTAAAAGCTCAAAAAAAAAAAAGATTTAACTAAGGATTTTTTTAGTGGTGATCACTTAAATGTTTAATATTATTTATATGATAAGTTTTTTATCAATTCATATAATATGAACCGTTTTATTTTAGGATTTATGTTATTATATTATATAAAAAAATCACCAAAAAATTACTTAAGTAATTAAGAAAAGAAATTCTTTTAAATATATTTAGAAAAAATATAATGTAAATCTAGAATTTGTTGGATTGTAAAAATATTTGAGAAGCAAATATACATAAATATATGGAAGTAAATAATTATTGTTAGGACTTTTATTTTAATCAATTGGATCTCAACAATTAAATCTAAACTATGACATGTGTCTTCAATCCAAGCTAGAACTTGGGGAAAATGGAGAGGAGCCAGATCCTATATATATATATATATATATATATAAATATATATATATACATATATATTATATATAAAATTTGTTGTATTATCTATTGAAGATTATTTAAGGTGACACTTACATAGTATGCAGTGACTGTTCCAGCAGAATTTCCAGGTACCAATTTAATTTGCATTTCTATACTTCCAAATAGAAATGTTCCTTTTGATTGTACACCTGAACCTGAAAATGCAATAAACCAAAAGTAACAATTATTTAGTGACATAATGTATATATAACATAAAGTTCGAATGCACAAAATATTTCACATCAATAGGATTGGAAAAAGAAAAGATGTAGACAGTTAATACAATCATCAATAACTATTTTCACAGTTCAAACTGATCATGACCTATACAGATTACACTAAGATATTACAACTGTAATTTTTCAACGAAAATGATTGAGACGAAATTAATTTACCAGAAGATTGATCAAGGACAAGTTGAAGATCATCTCCTTGCATCCAAGAATGATGAGAACCCCAATTAATGTACATATTATCTGAGAAAATACCATTAACCATAACTAAAGAACCAAATGACACAATTGTTGAAATAATCAACAAATTAGCCAATGAAAGAACTAGAGAGCTGCCCATTTTGAACATAAATGGGATAATTTAACTTAAATTTCTTGAAAAAAATTAATGAATGTGTTTTGGTTCTTAGGAATATGACATACTTATTAATCTTTATATATAGTTCATAATCAAATAATACTACTCCAAGAAAACCCCCTTGAAAAATGTATTATTATATTTAATTTGATCACGTCTTTGATTTGATTTGCTTAGTACAGATGGATCAAGGGGAAATAATTAGGTGGAGGGGGTTGGAAAAAGTATTTTAAATTTTAAGCAATAGGAACATGAAATTATATGAATAATATGGAAGCTAACACGTAAATCGAGGTGGAATAATTGAAATTCATTTATCGTATATGAATATTGAAAATAAAAATAATTGTATTGGGAACGTCAATTTCAGAAAATGAGACTTACGATATATAATTTTGAATATGACTGAACTTTAATATGAATATTAAACGACAGATGAAATACGACAATACGTAAAAAGAGAGAGAAGTGGCAAAGCATATACAGTTGGGACGCGGCTTGAGAATTATGTAATAACGTGCATTAGACTATTGGAAAGACTCGACTTAGCCGGCTGACCGGCCTAATAATAAGCTAGACCTTGGTTTTAATTTTTGTTCGGAATTTATCGACTCTACTTGAATTTATATTGAATATGAATTTTATTAGAAGAAAAAGTTAAATCGTGATCTCATGATGATAGTTCTTCTAGCTTGTATTCGTGGTATAAAGATTATTTTATATTTTTCGTATCTGTTTAACTATATTGTAGATATACATATATACATATATTAATTTTTTCAAAGTTAACAGATGCACGTGCACCTTACGTATGAATGTGGGTCCGCTCTGCAGAATTGTTACATGCTATGTATTGAACAAATTACGTGATGTGTTTTTTTTTTTTAATTTCAAAAGGAATAATAGTATCTTTTTTATTTAAAAATAATTCAACTTAAATTTTATCATCTTGTGAGATGATTTATGCTCACCAAAATGAATTTATAAAGATCATAAATTTCAAAAAAAAAATCATTCCAAAAACATTCATATTTTCCCCAAAAGACTAGCGAGAATGTTTTATACATTATTTTTATGTGAAATAACAGATGAAATAACGTGTCTCAATATCTAAATCAAAATCAGATATGTTTGAAAGAAAATTTTTGAAATTTTATTACTATGTGAAAATGTGATTTTTATTAACTTACGGGGAAAATTAATAAATTACGTTTAAAATAAATAATTAAACAAATTATAAAGAGAATTCTAGAAAAAGATCTTTTTTGCTTTGCAAAAGTCCAACAAGACTAGGCATTTGAACGTTAAATTATCTTAGCAACAATAATATCTTTATTCATGTCTGAAGTATCTTTTTTTTTTTTTAACTTAAAAAAAATTTATATTATTAGATTAAGCGTTTAATTATTTTTTTAATGAATAATGAAATAAAAATTTTAACATGAAAAGTAAAATAAGGGAAAGACAAGCCTTATCTCATTATATCCTAATGAGATAATGAACCATAGATTTTCTTTTTTCTACTTTGAGATCGCTTTAAATCAAACTATGTTTTAGTTGGATTAAATTATTTGCAATGATTTTCTTTTTACCTCATCAATATTCATTAGTTTATATGCAAATGAAAATATAGTAAGTGTTTGGACATATATTCTTAATTCATATATAATATTATGTGTATACAATATGATTTAATTATTTTCACTGATTGAAATTATGCTTTTGTAATTTTTTTTAAATAGATGTATTTTATAAGTGAATACAAAGAGGTAATCTTTCTACTCCATCTTTGTAATACTCATGTAAAAATTCCCTATAAAAATAATCAAAGTTTTTTTTTCTTCTTTTTATTATAAAGAATGAAGTACATAAATATAATAAGATCAAACTCAACAAGATCTTCTTATTCAATACAAACAACAATATTGTAAAAATAAAAGTAAAAACAAATATAAGCAAAGAAAATGGTAACAATTAAGAAATATAACTTCCATTGCTGTTTCGACAGGGTTAAAACAATTTTCTTTCTTCTTCAGATAGTGAAGTCACTCCGATTTGTTTGTGTCCTTCTAGTATTGTGGCAATGAGCACTCAATAGGTATAACTCCTTTGAATCTTTTCACATCTTTGCAATAATCATAGATCATATACTTACTCCTCATTGAGTTCATTTGACCAAGTTTATTTGCACTCAATTTATTGTATGTAGGTGAACTCCACCAATTGGTTTTTGTAGGAATTGAACATTGGGAAATACTCATTGGTCCATTCCAATAACAAGCTCTTGGTCTAAATTTTCTATAAGTTGCAATAAATGGTGCATTTGTCCAATCAATTTTAACAAGACCACCTCTTGTTGCCCAATCATCTGCATTCCATAGACTAGTGTAGACTCTCATTCCTTGTTTGTTTGGGAATGGAATGCCTTTGGATTGGTAGTTTCTAAAAACCCTAATTGGAATACTATCAATGTACCATCTGGAAAAAAAAATACAAACATTTTCACATCAAATTTCAACTAGTTTCCTGTGTTTGGTGCGACAGAAGTCATCTTAGAGTGTTTGGTTGGAGAGTGGAATATATTTTGAAAGAAATATTTACTATTAAAGATTGACTATTTGTACTATTAATATTATTATTAGTTCATCTGTTTTAATTTATGTGTCGCACTGATACTATTTGGCTGGACATAAAGTTTAAGAAAGAAATTTTTTTGAAATTTGTGGTAAAAAAACAAGTGATAAATATTTGTGTGGATATAAGTCATCTTGTTACGAGTAAAATGAGAAGTTTAAAGTTACATTGTTTTTAAATAAGAGCATATGATATTCCTTTTAGGATAGACTAAAAAGGAAAAATATAATACATAAATTGGACAAATAAAATATAGCGGATAGTGTTTTGATGAGGTTAAGCTAATATAAAGTTAGAATTTTGAGATAATCGTAAAGATATTTGAAATTTATAGATAATAAAGGTGATTGGTGGAGATAGTTTAGTCGATAGATAAGACGATTTTTATAAAATGAAAAGAAGTTGTCTGAAAAGATCGACTTACACAACGGCGTTAGGGTTCCAATGAATAGTATAGTTGTGAAAATCAGCAGTTGGATCAAACCAAGGGTAAAATTGTTGCTCTCTATTTCCAACACCTTGGGTGTAAATATTTGTGTGTATAATATAAGGTTGTCCTGATATATTTCCTAAAAACTCGAAATCGATTTCATCATGCTTGGTACCAGTAGAAGATAGCTGTCATGATAAATAAAAATATATTATCATATAAAAAATGTTTACATCTTATATATATTATTAGTGCATAAAATTTTTAAAGTCGCTTAATTTTGTCACATCATAATAAATGTTATATAAGTATACTTACATAGTATGTTGTGACAGTTCCAGCAGAATTATTGGGTACTAACTTGATAAGCATTTCAAAGCTACCAAAAAGAAATGATCTTTTTGATTGAGCACCAGAGCCTGAAATTTAAATTATAACGTTTTAGACGATTCTAGAGTAAATTCTTTAAGTACTGACTACTATTTTCAAATTGTGTACACAATGTGTAAATTTCAAGATATATATCTACATCACACTCATTTCGAACCAATTATATCCAAATTCTGAATCTATCTGAATCTATCTCTACCTAGAGCAACCATCATCAAAGCAAGGGTGTGGTTAGTTGGTTGTTAAGACTAGAGCCAATGTCGAAAAAATTCCACTGTATAAATAGGTTAATTTTTATTGTATATTATGTATATAAACTATTGGATCGCGTCAATATAAATACAAATTTTTAGTACATGGGTAAAGAGTTCTAATATTATTTTTGGTTCTAGATTCAAATCCCAAATATAACATGCTTATATTTTTCGAATTATTCCCATCATATATATAAATTTCTGGCTCCGTTACTAAATGTATAAAAATCGAAAAAAAATTAAAACTTATACCTGCAGATTTATCAAGAACAAGTTGAAGATCATCCCCTAGAAGTTTACAATGATGAGCACCCCAATTAACATACATGCTACTTGATGTCATCCCAATGACTACATATGAATGAAATAATGCAATTATTGCAATAATCATCAAAACCAAAGAATTAAAATCTATGAGTTTTGCCATCTTTAAAATTATTTTTTGTGATTTGTACATTTGTTATAAGACTATGGTGGATTTATATAGCATAATTTTATTTTATTTTTAAAAAAATAACTTTGAATTAGTATGTGTAATTTTATGTATTTTGTACTGCTGACCATGTTTGAGGTTGACATAATAACTAATACCAAGTAGATGCAGTTGACAATTAATCAAGAAATTTGGTTACATGTATATGTTGCATTTAATGGTGTTTGAATATTTCTTTAAATTGATGATTGAAGTTTATGGTTACAAAGTCATTTAAATTGAAGTTTAATATATATGTTTTGTATTTTGGGAAACAACTTTTAGTTGATGATTGACATTTATAGTTACAAGCTTTTGAAAAAAAAAAGGTGCATTTTAAACTTAAAGTGAATTTTATATAGTTTTAGGGCAAAAAACAGAAATCACTTACTTTAAAGAAAAAATTATCATTTGTTCCTTATAAGTTGATAATTACAAAAATCTCTCAAAATGATACAATAATATAAGCGCCAATACATTAATTTGATGTGCGAGATACATTAATCGTTAAGTAAGATGCATTATATTTTTTACATGATACACTAATATGATGTACATTTTATATATGATACACTAATCTGTTGCGTGAGATACATTAATCTGATACGCAAGATACATTAATTTGATGCTCTTATACATTAATCTGATGCTTGAAATGAGAGATTTTAGGAATTTATAAAACTAATAGGGGATAATGGTTATAAGAGAACTTAAATGTCGAATTTCTATCATTTTTTCATTTATTATATATCGAGATATAGGAGAAAAATGAACAACTTTAATAATAAGGAATATTAAAAATTAAATGGTACACACATTTTTAGTTTTGATGACAATGTCATTCGAATGATAAAATTATAAGAGTTTATTGGATCACAACGGATAATATATGTAACGCGTGTGTTGTGAAATTAGAATTTGTACGTAGGACTGCAGCTAGAAATTCAGATATGATTTGATTGAATTCAAAGCAATAACTTTTGCTTAAACAATATATTTTTTATTTAGCAAATTCTTAAATACGTATAAATATGAAGTTTAGAACTCAATTATCCTACTCGTCACTTTAAAATTTAGTCATGATTCCACCTTTGTCTATACATATAAAAGCTTTGAGGATCTTGTTGTGTGTTGACATACTCCTCCCCTTTAGAATTATCCATCGCGTTTCATTAATTTTGTTTTAAACTTTTAAAATAGAAAATAATTTAAAATATCTATTTTTTTAAAAAAAAAATTGCGATTAATAATTTGAAACGAAAAAAATACTAAATACTCATATTACCTAACTAGCTATGACACATATTTTTTTTGAAAATGTATAAATAGTTTAGAATTTTAAGTTTTTGAATAACGTGCATGAGGCTAAAATATGAGAAGTTATCAACTCTACAAGGACTTCATAACTATGTTAGGTCTAATTAATTAATTAATTAAGACGTGGATGCCTTAATTATAATGTCATTATTTGAATTGATAGAATTATATTTATGAATTCGTCTTGCTTGCTTGAGAGTATAAGATATCATTACATATATAAAACTTTGGAAAAAAAAGAGAAAGAAATTGGACATAACTTTTTAAAATATATTCTACTCTTTTTAAGAAAAATGATATAAAATATTACTTATTATTATATTTATAAGTTCTAAAAGCTATCAAGAATAATCCATCATACCAAATGTATATACTAACTAATTAATCTTGTATATGCAGAATATTAGTTGATGTTGTTCATCTATATCATATAAATTAATTCTACCTATATTTTTTTGAATAATTATGTATTTTATCAATTAAGAGTTTCTATCATATAAAGAGGAAGATACACCTACGTACATATACTTTTGCTACCAAATACATTAAAATAGTGAGACAAGTGAGCGAGGCGCACAGGGAGGTGAGCGAGATGGTTATATATCCCATATATATGTGAATCACGCTACAAACATGTATTTGTATGTATCTAGGATACATAACCATCTCACTTGCCTTCTTCCCTATCTCGCTCATGTATCTGTATGTATCTGGTGTGATTCGCATGTATAGGAGATGGGCGAGCGAGGTGAGAAAGAAGTGAGTGTGTTATATATCTCAAATACATGCAAATCCACTTAGATACGTATCTAGAACAAATTACACCTAATTTTAACATGACATGCCTCGAAATATATGTATCTAGATGCACCAAATCTGATAAAAATTTATGACATAGCAAACTAGAGCATATCTAAAATAATTAGCTCATAAGCTAATGAAGTTTTCATAAGTTTCACTTTTATTTTATAGAAATACAAAAAGAAAAAATGGAATAAGTTTTGAAATGTTAAAGTAGCCCTAATTGTCATATATATATTTTGTTGGATTAGAAAGAGGCCTTATATGTATAATTTATGTATATCATCTAGAAAAGATGAATAGATATTTATGTATATCATCTAAAAAAGTAAACAACAAATATGATCATATGTTGTGTAAAGATCCCACACCACATTTTAAAGTAGTCGATAATTATTTTCTAGATCTTCATGCTCAACACAACAAGAAGAATTATAAAAGAATAAATAAGAAAAACATAAGCAATATACTGAAGTTCAAAGAAACATTGAAAATAATTGATAGGATAGTGTGATTCAATTGTTATTATTGTATAACTATGTTGTCCAAATTCTATGATAAGCAAAAGTTTATAAATGAATTAATATAGATAGATAAACTTTTTATGTGAGTAATACTTTATGTAAAATTTCCGAATAAAAACAATATAATTTTTTGTACTTTAAGGAATTAAATACATAATAATATCAATTCAACAAGATCTTCTTGCTCAACACAACAAAATTATTAAAGAAAATAAATATAACCAAAATGTTTGAATTTCAAAGAAACATTAAAAATAATTCATTCCCAGAAGGAGAACGATAACAACTTAGAAATATAACTTTCACTGCTGCTTCGATAGGATCGAAACAACTTCTTTTCTTTCTTCAGATATAGTGAAGTCACTCCGATTTGTTAGTATTGGGGCAATGAGCACTCAATAGGCATAACTCCCTTGAATCTTTTCACATCTTTGCAATAATCATAAATCATATTCTTGCTTCTAATTGAGATCATTTCACCAACTTTATTTGCACTCAATTTATAGTATGAAGGTGAAGCCCACCAATTGGAATTTGTTGGAATTGCACATTGGGAAATACTCATTGGTCCATTCCAATAGCAAGCTCTTGGTCTAAAATTTCTATAAGTTGCAATAAATGGTGCATTTGTCCAATCAATTTTAACAAGACCACCTCTTGTTGCCCAATCATCAGCATTCCATAGACTAGTGTAGACTCCCATCCCTTGTTGGTTTGGGAATGAAATGCCTTTGGATTGGTAGTTTCTAAAAACCCTAATTGGAATACTATCAATGTACCATCTGTAAAATAAAAAAAAATGTCACATCAAATTCTGACGACATGTCTGATATGATAAAAGTCATTTACAACATATATTTCAAATCATAAGTTTCAAATAATTTTATAATTTGATCTGAAAAGATCGACTTACACAACGGCGTTAGGGTTCCAATGAATGGTGTAATTGTGAAAAGCAGCAGTTGGATCAAACCATGGATAGAATTGTTGCTCTCTATTTCCAACACCTTGGGTGTAAATATTTGTGTGTATAATATAAGGATGTCCTGATATATTTCCTAGAAACTCGAAATCGATTTCATCATGCTTGGTACCGGTAGAAGATAACTGTCATGAAATAAAATATGTTAACGTCAATATATAAATAACGTTCACATCTCGTTATATATTGTCAATGTACAAAATTTAAAATTGATTACAAGTATACTTACATAATATGTTGTGACAGTTCCAGCAGAGTTGTTAGGTACCAACTTGAGAAGCATTTCAAAGCTACCAAAGAGAAATGAATTTTTCGATTGAGCACCAGAGCCTGAAGTTGAATCAAACCGCAATAATTAGTAAACTCGAAAAATTTAAATTTTATAATTTTTTTTCAATCAAATATAAATATTATTTTTCATTTGCTCAATCGCTTTTCACTTTAGACTAATAAGTTTAGAGCTGAATCTAGAGCATGTATCTAGGTTCATCTGAATCTGTTAACTTTAATTTAAGCTATGTAGGTAGACATATACAAAAAATTATTATATATATTCAACCCGTTCATATGACATTCTACGTGTAATATACGAAAAAGTTATTATATATATCACCAAAAGAATTGTAACTTGCCTGCAGATTTATCAAGAACAAGTTGAAGATCATCCCCTAAAAGTTTACAATGATGAGCACCCCAATTGACATACATGCTACTTGATGTCCATCCATTGGCTAAATATGATTGAAATGTGATTGTTGCAATAATCATCAAAACCAAGGAATTAAAATGTATGATTTTTGCCATCTTTAATTAATTATTGTGAGTGATCACACTTGAAAATTGTATATTTTTTCTTAGGCTATGTAGGGTTTATATAGCAAAAAAAATAAATTTAAAAAAAAAAGGAACTTTTCAATTACTATATTGTAAACTTGTTTTTATGAATTTTGTGCTGACCATGTTGAAGTTGACATTCCAAAATACCGTGTGGATGTAGTTGGCAAATTAATCAAGAAATTTGGTTAAATGTATGTTGTATTTAATTAGTATTTTTTAGCAAGAAAAAAAAGGATTATTTGTGATGATAATTGAAGTTTAATATAGTATTTTAGGAGACCACTTTTACTTTGATGATTGACATTTATGGTTACACTATTATGTAAAAAGTTGTGTGACATTTCTGACGGAGAGCGGACTAATAAAAATATGTAAAAAAAAATGAAATGATAAGCTTTTGAAGGTACGTTTTCCACTTATATAAAATAGTATGTCGAAATCTAGTAGAACAATGAAGAACTTTAATATAAGGCATATCGAAAATTCATAGAGTATGTGCTCTTTTGGTTTGATGATGGTGTAATCATACGATTTGATCGAATCTAATAATTTTTGCTTAAATCATATATATGTATTTAATAACTTTTAAAATATGTACAAATATGAAATGTAAAACCCAATTTTACCACTTGATATATAAAGGTTCACTCTAAGATTTCAATTATCATCGTAAAGTAGAAATTTTGGCTCTATCTCTGTCAGTATATATGCGTTTTGAGGATCTTGTTATGTGTTGAAATACTTCATTCGTTTAAAATTATTTGTGTGTTTTTCTTTTACGTGCTCTATAAAAAATATTAATAAGGAGAGAAGTTTGACTATTGTACCCTCATTTATATCTCAAGATAATATCTCTTCATTTACTTGTTCTATTAAAGTGTTTGTAGTCTTTAAGAACAACTACGAGTAAGAATACAATCGAAAAAAATTTACTTTTGTCTTAAAATTTTAAATAACAAATTATTTAAGATATCTATTTTTTAAAATCACGATAAATAATTTGAAAAGAAATTACTAAATACACATTTCTTTCTAATTAGGTCTTCCCTATATTATTACACAATTTTTAAAATGTATAGAGTTAAATTTGAGTTTTGAATGACGTGCATGAGACTAAAATATGAGAAGTAATATTAGGTGAAATTAATTAATTAATTAATTAAGACGTGCAGACATTAACAAATGAGATTATTTTGAATTGATAGAACTATATAAATTGTTAGCCAATGAGTGTATTGAGCCCTAAATACTTCGATGGTCTATTTCTACTTTATATTTATAAACTCGTTTTACGAGTTTGAGAGTGTAAGATATTGTTACAAAGATAAATTTTGAAATTTTATTTTTTAAACACGTCCTCTCATCTTCGTTTTTATGAATTTACTCTATACTTCTACTTTTAAACACTATTACAAAAAAATCAAATTTTTTCTATAATATGATAGGAATTACGATTTAATGGATTAAAACTTAGTCACATCATTCATATTCGATGTTTACACCAATGCATGCATGACATGTGTCAATGTATATAATCATGATTGATGTATACTTCAATTTGTACTTCACTTTTTAAGGTTAAATTAATTTATTTATTTTAATCATCGAGTAAGAGTAAGGTTTTACTATATCGACCTTTTAAACTAGTTCTTCTAAATTTGACAATTTTTTGGGTATAATATTGCAATTTTGCTTTTACATTTATTTTTCGACATGGTTCTGTGGTGTTCGAAAGATTTTTAAAGCTTGTGGTCTAACACATGCATATGTAGAAATTATTATTTATTAGCGATAAAAGAGAAATTTGAAATAAAATTACTTTATAAATTAAATATGTGTCATTCGGGATTGATATAAAAAGAAAAAAAATATGTAATATAAATTGGGACGGAGGAATATTATTATCATTTGAATTGGGCTTCTTAAAGGTGGCCCAACCCAAATGATACCTAAGGAATACATGTTAGAATTTGAAGGCCCATTTTACAAGCCCACCTACTATATACTATATTTAATTATAAATTGTAGACTTAATTAAGCAAGATTAAGTATTAACTAATCGTATCTTTATTGAAGCCGGATTATTTTAAAATACTTCATACAAGGCCAAGGGTAACGCTCCTAACAAGTTTTTTTTTTTTCACATTTAAGGCTTAAACTCGAGATTTCAATTATTGACTGATAACATATGTATTAGCAAGGTATATTTTTTATATCAAAAGAAAAGTTTGAGATAGTAACTAAGCGCATTATGTTAAATTTGAACAGATTTAAATCGAATTAATTTAATAGACGAATCATAACTCAATCTATCCGAAATTTGTTTGGGTCAATATGATTGGATCTCAACGAGTCAAATAATAAGATAAATAAATAATTATATTAATTTTTTTGTTTAAATCTCAATAATATGTCTTAATTTATAGTTTTAATAGTACAATAAGTTAAATATCTAAAAAGAATTAAATTGGTAATATTTGAATTTTAGATTTGTCTTTGCATAGTAATGAAGATGTTGTCAACAACAAACCAATGTTAGATTTTCTACATAGATGGGTGGAAAAAATACCAAGCTTATAAGTCTCGGATACTGAGGCGGAGTCAGGTAGGATTTCATGGGTTCGTACAAATTTACTATCTTTTTCGTAGAATTTATATTTTTATGATAACGCTGTTTATTTTAAATTTTTAAAATTTTAAAAACGTATTATTATTATAAATGATATATAATATAAAATGATATGAAATATTAATTTTACAAAAAAATTTGTCTGTTATAATAAAATAATATTATAAAAAATGATTGTTACTTGTTATCTTCTCTAAGTCAGCATATATATATATATTAGTATCTGGCTATCTGTTTCGAAATATGAGTACATAATAATTATATATAGTAGTAGTAGCATACAGCTCATGCAAATCTTATGAAATTAATTTCTGATTTGTGACATCCGATTTAAGATAAGAAATCTCATTATTGATAAAATATATGAGAAACGTTAGTGACGTATTTTAAAGTTGAGGAGGTCTAGTTAGATTCAGAGTAGACAATATCACTAGTAAATCGACCTGACAAATATATATAGGGGTGTTGGATTGGCTACAATCCTTTCGCCCTTGATATGAAGTTTTGTGTTCGAGATTTTGAGAATATCTTAAAAGCGTCGTCCTTAATATGAAGTTTCTTGTTCGAGTTTACGAGAGTAAAAAAACTACCTTAAAAGAGTTATCTTAAATAATGAATCTTATAATACGTGAATTCGAGTTAAGATTCTGATGACATGACAAATGCTTAGATTGTATTTTCAAAAAAAGAAAATATGAAACGTACATAGCTACATTATGAGTTCTGTAGCAAAATATGTTAAACACAAATCGAACTTTTCTACTTGATACAATAATTTGTAAATTCATAAACTATAGGTATATTTTATGATTACACCCTAATATCACATATTAATTTTCTCAAATTTTAGTACGATTTTAATATAAATATCGAATATATATATATATATATATATATATATATATATATATATATATATATAT